CTGCAACTCTCTACTAGAAACTCTCTGAGAAATTCACAGAGGAAGGGAAAGCAAAGCACTTCTGTGCTATTGCCAAGAAAGCCACATGGGCGTGTTCATGAGTATCAGCCTTACCAGGTGCACCAGACAGGAAACACAACCAGATGAGTGAATTCTACTTTATTGTTAGGCTACATTAACAGAATCTTGCAAGTCTGACTGGACAATTCTCCCCCTGTCTCATTTACACCCCAAGAAACTAGGGAGGGCCCCTTCTGAGCCTCTTGCCCCGTCCACTATCCAGCTGTGGGCTATGCTGTCTCTTATCTGATCTTTCCCTAGGCAATGTCTCTGAGCCAGCCTCCCAAGGTCATTCCCCCACACCATTACAATGAGGCCCTAGGAGCCATGCTCAACTTGAGGGAAACTTACCTTTATTTTGGATGTCAGATTTTTTTCCCCATTTCTTTGGGCTGTTATGGACTTGGTTTGTTGGTCTCTATTTTGGGCATTCTGACCTCTTGTGGTAATATGAGAGAAGGCAGTCCCCATTTCCTTTTCTGCTGAAACTGATTGAGTTGGTTGAACTGCATTTCACAGTTATGGTTCTGTCTAATTTTTTCCCCTCCTGTGCTGAACTTTAAAAAAACAAATCTTGCCCATCTCCCTCCCCAATGTTCTCACTTGCAAGGGCTAGGCATTCTTCTTTTCAAGAGCAGTGGGCAGTTTTCAAGATGATGAAAATGTCCCACCATCTGGCAATGTTTTAGTTCTTGGTATTTTCCTGTGTTATTGTGCTGAAGATGCTATATGACCACAATCATCTGAAGAAAAAACAGGTGCGCCTTTCTACCATTGCCCCCATCTTTAAGAAAGCCCTGGAGATGGATTGGTCCTGTTTTCAGCTGGTTAGCCTCATAAATTTTATAAGTGAATTATATGCTAGGTACATCCATGGAAAATGTTTCTTGGCTAATCCAAGATAGGGTGCTATCTAAGGAACAAGGTAGTATTACCCCTGTGAGTCAACTTTTTATCAGTGCCGTGTACTCTACTGTTCCACTGACAAGTAGTCTAGGAGACCTGTAGGAATACTTTCCATCACCTTCATTGATTCCAAAGGTTGATTCAATATTTAGAAAGTAGTTATGGGCTAAATATGCAAAAACAACCAGGTAGTTATAGTGCTGCATGAACACACCTACATGCAGGTTAGATGGGCCACCTTTGGAGGTGTCTCTGCTGCACTAGCTAACTTAAGAGGAGTTAAACAAGGATGCATCTTGGCTTCCCTACTTTTCAACTTTGGTATTAATACCATTGTTCCAGTTCTGTCTAAAAATGGGTTTTACCCACCCGAGTTGGTTCATAAACCTGTATCTATCCTTCTCTGTATGAATGATACACTTATTTTATCCCTGATAGGCATGGGCCTAAGTCACCGTTTGCAAGCCTTAGCAGCCTTTTGCAGAGAAGAAAAATGAACCATCAACTGTTTCAGAACAAAGATGGTGCAATTTATCAAAAGGTGTGTTATCTTTCCCCACAACCCAAGGCCTTGAACTGTCTAGAGCTTTTCTTCCCAATTATCTACAACTTGGAAGAAATTAACAAAAAATGTAGTAGTCTATAATAGTCCATAATAATCCATGACTTGATTTGTTTAGCCACAATGACAATAATTTTGTCCTGGCCACAGTAAAATTATTCAGGACTAAGATGTTGGGCCCTTATGATCTATGAAGTTCAATCCAGTGCTAACAACCACAATGACACACAAGCCTTGAAGGTAATTCACTCTGATGTCTTAAGGGTCTATGCTCCCCCCCTCCCCCATGTGTCAGTTGCTCTTCTGCATTTGGAAACTGGCCTCCCCTCTGTAGAGACTTGTATAAGACTTTGTGGATTAAAGTACTGGCTAAAATAAAATTTGATGGAAGAAACTTTAGCCCAGTTAATTTTAGATGGTAACCAGGTTGCTTCTTGGAAGAAAAATGGGCTTAACTCTTGATGATGATGGCATTAGGTAGATAAGCAGGGAGTCCTTGTCTGGACCTGTAAAATGATCCTCACTATTGTAACTGCCTCTATGGTTGATCTTTTCCATAAGTATTTAACAACATCTGCTCCAAGTTGATGTTCTTGCTGGCAAGATGTGTGTTCTGACCTTCATGCTTCCAGAGGAAGGTTTCATAACATTCCTTCCAAAGATCAAATTTGGGTCAAGGTGATTGAAACAGCATTACATCTATTGCTGGCCAGCCCAGCATTTGGAATTAATATTTAATTTAATTTATTCAATTTAGGCACTGCCTGACTCCAAACCACTCTGGATGGCTCACAATTCAACAACAAAATACAGTACAATTCAAAACAACCAGCATAAAAGATAAGAAAGCAGATAAAAAAAAATACAAAATGGCAAATTGGGCTAGCACCAAACTCAAGGGGCTGCAGCCACCCCAACTCAAGGCCTGGGGGAAGAGGCAGGTCTTCAAAGCCCTCCACAATGCCATCTGGGTGGTCACAAGGGGGGACCTCATTGTGGAGGGCAAGTACTGCCCCAGAGAAGGCGCACCTCCTGGGTCCCAAAAGATGACACTGTACAATCGAAAGGACCCAAAGTGCACATTCACCTTGTATCAGCCAGGCAAAGACCGTGAGAAATAGGTGGTCCCTCGTGGCCCTATGCCTTGTAATGATTTATAGGTCACCTTTACTAACCAACAGCTTACATCAGCCAGAAGTGGGTAACTGTAAATGTTGTAAGAGGATTCTGAGGCTAACACTGGAATTGCATCTTAGTTGATTTATTCCTGTCTGGACGTGGATGATCATTCATATTATTTGCTTGATTCTTACTGCATTGATTTTTTATTCTGGGTTTCTGTGGCTGTGTTTTATTGGATTGGTCGTAGACGGTAAACTAACTAACAGAGCAATGCCAACAATAGGAAAACAGAAATAATAATAATAATAATAATAATAATAATAATAATAATAATAATAATAATAATAATA